GTACCTGTTTACAAATATATCTAAACTGTATGTACCTGTTTACAAACATATCCAAATTGTATGTACCTGTTTACAAACACACACATCCAATTTGTATGTAGCTGTTTACACACATATCCAATTTGCATGTACCAGTTTTCAAATATATCTAAATTGTATGTACTTGTTTACACACATATATACAATTTGTAGGAGCCTGTATACACACATATACAATCTGTATGTGCCTGCACTTGCAAACACACCTGCATGAAATTCTACATACATTAAAAAAACTTCTGTACAAATCTTTATGTAAAAAACAATTAGAGATAAGTATAAATATCCATATGCTTCAGTTGTAGGTCACAAAGCTGTTTAGTTTTTTATCATAATTATATCATTAACATAACAATCAAAATCACTCCAAATAATTTACAAACATGAAGCAATTTGTTCAGATAAAATATAAGTAGCATACAAAAGGTGAGAGAATGCTTTAGATAAAGTTAGCACTTAATTTTCAGTAAGCTTTTTTTTGTCTTATTGCACTAGTTTTCCAAACTACTTACAAAAAGAAATCCATTTTTCTGCCCATATCTACTTCGGCATCAAGTGTAACAGCAATTTGTGTTAAATCATCCCACAAAACTGGTACGTTATTCATTTTTTTTCTTCGTTTTCTAGCCAAAAATAATCAAGATGTATGCAAATCTCCCACAAGATTGGCTAATGAAATAGCTTGAATGTTTTCTTTTAAATTAAAATTAAAAAAAAAAGATGAGAGAATGCTTTCAGCTGAGAAATAAATCTCAAGCTCATTCTCATCTGAATTTTGTGCCAATTAATGTTCGTACATGTATAATGGCAACTCTGTTGAGATAAAGTTTATTACCGAAACAAGCTGGTGCATTCATCATAGACTGGACTGCTATATGGGTTATACAATATCATTGTGTTTTTCACTCTTGCAAAAGCATATGCAATTCATGCAAGTTAGACCAACAAATTCTTTGGGAGTCAGCTTACACATTTTCAAATATTAAAGCTTGCAATATGTGGGTCTAATGAACACTTGTTTTTGTCTGGCTTTGTCAGAAGTCAATTAAATCATTATCTCTATCGATTATAAGGGTTATTTATACAGAATTTCATCAATGATGTGATTTATTCATTATGCTGTAAAGCTGAAGCCAAGCTCCTGATAGCCTTGCTTATCAAGTTATTTTTAGGTGTAAAGCCAGGACCTTAATATAATGCAGAATAGCAGGTGTTCCCTCACATGTGACAGTCAATACATTTACAACCTTCACCAATTTAATACAGTCTAAGTAATGGAAATTACACACATAGAACTAAATGCAAACAACCTCTGCCATTTATCAATATAAGTTCTTCATTCATTGCCACAGAATAGAGTAATACATGTTGACAAGGTTGACCATAAAACACTGGTAATACCACCCATAGTACAGAAATGTTGACAGAATTGACCTCTCTAACACTGGTAATACCACCCATAGTACAGAAATGTTGACAGAATTGACCTCTCTAACACTGGTAAACCTTGGTTTTATACCACCCATAGTACAGAAATGTTGACAGAATTGACCTCTCTAACACTGGTAAACCTTGGTTTTATACCACCCATAGTACAGAAATGTTGACAGAATTGACCTCTCTAACACTGGTAAACCTTGGTTTTATACCACCCATAGTACAGAAATGTTGACAGAATTGACCTCTCTAACACTGGTAAACCTTGGTTTTATACCACCCATAGTACAGAAATGTTGACAGAATTGACCTCTCTAACACTGGTAAACCTTGGTTTTATACCACCCATAGTACAGAAATGTTGACAGAATTGACCTCTCTAACACTGGTAAACCTTGGTTTTATACCACCCATAGTACAGAAATGTTGACAGAAATGTGACCTCTCTAACACTGGTAAACCTTGGTTTTATACCACCCATAGTACAGAAATGTTGACAGAATTGACCTCTCTAACACTGGTAAACCTTGGTTTTATACCACCCATAGTACAGAAATGTTGACAGAATTGACCTCTCTAACACTGGTAAACCTTGGTTTTATACCACCCATAGTACAGAAATGTTGAGGGTTTTGACCTCTCTTCATCTGGTAAACCTTGGTTTTATACCACCCATAGTACAGAAATGTTGACAGAATTGACCTCTCTAACACTGGTAAACCTTGGTTTTATACCACCCATAGTACAGAAATGTTGACAGAATTGACCTCTCTAACACTGGTAAACCTTGGTTTTATACCACCCATAGTACAGAAATGTTGAGGAGATTGACCTCTCTAACACTGGTAAACCTTGGTTTTATACCACCCATAGTACAGAAATGTTGACAGAATTGACCTCTCTAACACTGGTAAACCTTGGTTTTATACCACCCATAGTACAGAAATGTTGAGGAGATTGACCTCTCTAACACTGGTAAACCTATGGTTGTATACCACCCATAGTACAGAAATGTTGACAGAATTGACCTCTCTAACACTGGTAAACCTTGGTTTTATACCACCCATAGTACAGAAATGTTGACAGAATTGACCTCTCTAACACTGGTAAACCTTGGTTTTATACCACCCATAGTACAGAAATGTTGAGGAGATTGACCTCTCTAACACTGGTAAACCTATGGTTGTACACCACCCATAGTACAGAAATGTTGAGGAGATTGACCTGTCTAACACTGGTAAACCTATGGTTGTATACCACCCATAGTACAGAAATGTTGAGGAGATTGACCTCTCTAACACTGGTAAACCTATGGTTGTATACCACCCATAGTACAGAAATGTTGAGGAGATTGACCTCTCTAACACTGGTAAACCTATGGTTGTACACCACCCATAGTACAGAAATGTTGAGGAGATTGACCTCTCTAACACTGGTAAACCTATGGTTGTACACCACCCATAGTACAGAAATGTTGATGGGATTGACCTATTTGACACTAGTAAACCTGATATTTTACACAGAAAAATTGACGAGATTGAACTATTTAAAACTGGTAATCCTGGTGTTGTATACAGACTACAATGGTAAACCTATGGTTACTTACCACTAATAAAGCATTTTCTTAAACAACCAATTGAAGCCTTTGGTAATCTAGCTTCTATATTCTTTATCCTGGCACCTGGGTGTAGCAGTTGAACATTAGAATTTGTCATCTTAGCACAAGTGAAGAGAATTAGAGTATGTTTACTATATATACATGCTGTACTACTTACATTATACAATACTTCATAAAAATAACATTGTTCAGTATGAACACTAACAACATCAGATATATTTTCAAGACTTAATGAACAGGAAAAACAAGAAAACAGAAGACAAAATTAATTATTATACTGAGATCTAGCTAAAGAGAAGTAATGAGTTTGTGAAGACACCCTGCTTTACTTTTGTACGGTCAATATTACATGTTTATCTAGCCTGGCACAGCACTACATGAAAGAATTTATAGTTTATACCAATAATTAAGACAAAAAATGCTATAAAAATATCTAAAATAAAAAACAATGAACAGGCTTCTTTGAGTTTGCTACAAATTGGCATGCTATAACCTTCTAACAATTTTACAATTCGACAAGACACTTTGACCTGGACTCAGACAACTTCCATATTGTAGAATAAAGCAGAAAATCAGTTTGATAAGTAACACTTGCTGGAGCTTCACAAATGAAAATTTTAAACATAAGTTTGCCATTGAAAACAAAATTATTAGAATTGGGGCAAACTTATATTTTGGAAAAATGAAAAATATTTTGAATTTATTTACTGAACATTTGTGAGACTGAAGCAAATTTATCTACATTTATAGCAAAAGGATTTAATTTCCTGTAAACTTAACAGTTGAACTGGAAATAGCAGGCATCATATATGGTGCAGGTAATTTTGAAATAAGGATCAGGCTTAATTTAACAGAATCCAAACAAAAAACATCAAGAAAATATCAACATGTCAACATAATCATAATCACAATAAAACCTAATAAAACAACTAGGGCAAAATAAGACTTTTTGTCAAGAAAAATTTTCTTCGAATTCAGCTGTTTAAAAACATAATTATACACAAAATAATACTTATGTGTTTGTAAATAATGCAAGTAGTCTGACATAGATGTGATGCCGGTGTTGAATATAAGTTTAACCAAACTCTTAACAATATTGATTACAACATCGTAAGGAACATTAAGTATTATCCAAAAAGTAACTCTTCATAAAATAAATCTCTCTAATCCAGAAAGTACAGCTTATAAAGATTTACATCCTTCCTGAGAAGGAATTACAACACATTATTTTATTCAGCAAGATGTACCATGACATATATGTAAAATACAATGAACAATGATGAAAAGGGTCAAGGCCTTATTCAAGATGACAAGGATAAGGCCGTTTTAAACTACAAGACCAACGCCCTATGTGTTTTTTTCCAGGTGGATAAGGCTCAGACCATCAGTATCTGTCTAGGGCCAAATTATACATAACTTTCAGGGTCAAAGGTAACAGTATGTAACCATCCAGAACCATGGCTGTACTTATAACTATAGGGTCAAGGTCATACATTTATTTCCAGGGCCAGATAACGTTTCTAATACATGACAGGAGAAAACTTCCTTGGCTGCAGTAACTTTCATTAAACAAAAATATAAATGTATAGCAAAAGATAGCCTTTTTATCTTATAAATTTATGTTACATTTCACAATTTTACACAAGAAAAAGAAAGATCTGCACAACTTAAGCGTATCCACTTTTCCTAAGTGGAAGTGTGGTAGGCACATCAGAAGAGCAACATCATGTGAGAGTGATGCGGCATAGTGATCTGTATCAGCAGAAAGCTATGTCTGGGCAATCAGACATTCCATCCCCCTGGGGTGGGGCAGAGACTCCAGGGCTGAAGATGCCTCGCCATTTCAGTCCTAGCATGAAAGGAGGTAACTCTTGTGCCAAAGGCGCCTATATACGATGGCTATATCCTAACACTCAGGAATCAAGGTACCAAACGGATAGTCCCAGAACTTAGATGATATTCCAAATCCTGTAAATACAGACATCTTATCCGTATTTAACAAATGTTTACAAAATAAATACTTAAGTGTTTACCTCATTCAGTATCACTCTGATCAATTTTTACAAAACATTTACAAATTAAATACTTTAGTGTTTATCTTATCCAGCATCTATCTTCTAGATTTTTTTCCCATTTTATAAATACTGCTAATAGCAGTAAAAAATACAATTTTTTTTTTTACACCTATCGAAAATAAAATGTATTTGCCATGAAATTGTATCCTGAAAAAATAAGACTTAAGAAAAGAGCATTTTGGCATTTCCTGAACATTTAATAGGATCAATTTTTCTCAAATTAACAGGCATCGATATCCAAAATACCAAAAAACCAATAGATTAAAAGTAACATACCTAACTGTTGATTTTCAAAATGATGTTTCACATGGTATTTCTTTAAGGATATAAAGTAAGGCATTGTTGGTCGCCCGTGATGAAGGAAGTAGTGTGTCAGGTCATATATGATGTAGCCTGTTACTGTGCCTGCTGCGAATGACAGCGTTATACCATGTGGAAATACTGTTGCATAGATACTGTACAGCGTAATTCCCAGTATTGTAGCTGGCACCGGTGGAAACACTAGACGCTTCTTGTCTAGTGGGGTCTACAATCAACAAAATACATACACATTCATACTCTTACATTTCAACGTCAACTTCAGTGTTTAAATCATCCTAACAGCCCGTCACATACATAAACATGGTTGAATTACTGCCTCCTACATCAATACAAATTAATTCCGTTCCTATATTATAGCTGGAGACATATTCTAAGTTAGTTATCATTACAAAAAATTGGTGTATTCTCGACCGACTTATTGTAATAAACCTTACCTTCTTAACTGACTTATGGTAACTTTGTATCTTAACTGACTTACCAGAACTTTGTATCTCAATTGACTTACCAGAACTTTGTATCTCAATTGACTTACCAGAACTTCGTATCTCAATTGACTTACCAGAACTTTGTATCTCAATTGACTTACCAGAACTTTGTATCTTAACTGACTTACCAGAACTTTGTATCTCAATTGACTTACCAGAACTTTGTATCTCAATTGACTTACCAGAACTTTGTATCTTAACTGACTTACCAGAACTTTGTATCTTAACTGACTTACCAGAACTTTGTATCTCAATTGACTTACCAGAACTTTGTATCTTAACTGACTTACCAGAACTTTGTATCTTAACTGACTTACCAGAACTTTGTATCTTAACTGACTTACCAGAACTTTGTATCTTAACTGACTTACCAGAACCTTGTATCTTAATTGACATATGGTGACCTTGTATCTTAATTTGCTTCTGGTAATAAACCCATGTACTTTTAATAGACTTTCAGTAACCTTACATAATTGCTTAACAGTAACGTTATAGTCTTAATTGACATAGAACGAAGTTACAGTAAAACATTTTTATTTTTTTTTAATTTTTTCAATATTGTATATATACATATATCAAGTGTATAAACAATGATAGTCCATTTTCGCTGAAATATGTACATAAAAATGTTAACTAATAACCTAAAACAAAAATCTCTCTGTCTTCATTGATCAACAGTCTGTATACGTAAATTTTTTAATCATATATGATTACACATGTGCAAATGTCAGCCACAAAGCTAATGATGGACAATAGAAAACCCTAGGGTTTTGCTTCAGAACTTACAATGGATGGTGGGAACTTGTATTTATCTGACGAAAATGCGATGAGGACATTGTGTGTATTCAGCTGAACTGACTGATGGACTGACCAAATGAAATTAGGCAAAACCTAAGGATGTTGTTTTACAATATCTGTATGACTTGAGTGAGACTTTTACAGAAATTATGACTATTAATGTCACTTTTTTCATATTCCTGAATTAAATTTGAGTTATCAAACAATGGCTACTTATTCATAACAAATTTGGGTGCCAAAAAAAAGGTGTCACTACATTTTTCTCCACCTTCACATGTGTTCATGTATATAAATGAACTACCTCTTTTTCAAAAATGTCACCTGATGTTATAATTTGAGAGGGGTTTTCTAAATAAATTGAGTGATCAAACTGGACATTGGAAACCAACTGAACAGCCTGATAGCTGAGAGATGTAACTGGAAGTGTGTGAAATAAGCACAATCAATTAAGGAATAATGCTTTTACCATCCCTCTGAAAAATAACCTAATATTCTTAATTGATTTACGGTAACATTACATACTTAATTCATTAACAGATAGTTTATATTCTTAACTGGCTTATATTCATGGCAACATTAAACTAATAATTAAAATAATAACAGGTGTACACACAGCTGTTAGAAATCAGAATAAAACGAGTACAATAAAATCTATCCAACCATCTTTATTGTACTGTTTGAATAGTCAGCCAAAATTCTCCAGGGTGCCATTCTTTGGAAATTCATGTACTTGACTGTTATGTGCCTGTAATAACCATATACACTAACCTTATGATGCTGACCATGAAGCAAAAAGTGTAATGTCACCAATAGGCGGGAATTGCTAGGTGGGCGGAGGTGAAACATCCAGCGATGAATTACATACTCGTCTAGCGTCCAACTTATCAATCCAATCATAAACATGAGAGGCATGTGTTTAGGTGTCATCTCTGCCAAAACAAAATCACGTTATTAAAGTGTACACCCCAACTACCCTGTTAGAGTGGCATTGGAACACTTACAGACAAAATTAGGTGTCATCTCTGCCAAAACAAAATCACGTTATTAAAGTGTACACCCCAACTACCCTGTTAGAGTGGCATTGGAACACTTACAGACAAAATTAGGTGTCATCTCTGCCAAAACAAAATCAAGTTATCAAAGTGTACACCCCAACTACCCTGTTAGAGTGGCATTGGAACACTTACAGACAAAATTAGGTGTCATCTCTGCCAAAACAAAATCAAGTTATTAAAGTGTACACCCCAACTACCCTGTTAGAGTGGCATTGGAACTTACAGACAAAATTAGGTGTCATCTCTGCCAAAACAAAATCACGTTATTAAAGTGTACACCCCAACTACCCTGTTAGAGTGGCATTGGAACACTTGCAGACAAAATTAGGTGTCATCTCTGCCAAAACAAAATCACGTTATTAAAGTGTACACCCCAACTACCCTGTTAGAGTGGCATTGGAACACTTACAGACAAAATTAGGTGTCATCTCTGCCAAAACAAAATCACGTTATTAAAGTGTACACCCCAACTACCCTGTTAGAGTGGCATTGAAACACTTACAGACAAAATTAGGTGTCATCTCTGCCAAAACAAAATCAAGTTATCAAAGTGTACACCCCAACTACCCTGTTAGAGTGGCATTGGAACTTACAGACAAAATTAGGTGTCATCTCTGCCAAAACAAAATCACGTTATTAAAGTGTACACCCCAACTACCCTGTTAGAGTGGCATTGGAACACTTGCAGACAAAATTAGGTGTCATCTCTACCAAAACAAAATCACGTTATTAAAGTGTACACCCCAACTACCCTGTTAGAGTGGCATTGGAACACTTACAAAATTAGGTGTCATCTCTGCCAAAACAAAATCACATTATTAAAGTGTACACCCCAACTACCCTGTTAGAGTGGCATTGGAACACTTACAGACAAAATTAGGTGTCATCTCTGCCAAAACAAAATCACGTTATTAAAGTGTACACCCCAACTACCCTGTTAGAGTGGCATTGGAACACTTACAGACAAAAATAAAACAATAAACAATCATCTGCTATCTTTAACAAAAAAGTCATTTGTACTAATATATAGAGAATTGTTTTAAGTACTAAATACTTACCATAACTTGTGCCAGGGAAGATACATGGTGCCTCTGACAACAATCTGAAGGAACTGTAGAGAAATAGTATTAGCATCGGTACCCAGTACATGGGCACCACATACCATGGACATTGTGAGAAATACTCGCAGAAGTCAGATTTAAAAAGACGAATGTGCTTGTCTTCTGGGTAATGGACCCATTCAAAATAGCGTTCACCCAGGTGAGCAACCTGTGTTAGCATCGGTTTGTCCCAATCCACCAACTTCTCCAGCTGTCAACACAAAACACCAAAACTCAATTGGGCACATGATGAACTGTAATGATATTGTGATGAACTAAAATAATGAATTAATGTTATATTATGACCAACTACCAGTATAATGATGAACATAATAATGAACATTTTTACTATAAATATCATACATACATTCACTTTATCTCACACCCAGTGTAGTGTTATATCAGTCGTAATCGTTTTTATTTTATGAGTGAAACTTCAGCACATAAAATGTGTATTGAAAATAATATAAAATGTTTATCAAAATTTCAACATGTCTGTTTCTCCGTGCTTTTAGTCCATGGAAAGATTTAGGAATCAGAACTTGTATAAATCTTACATCACTGTAGTGCTCGTGGTGTGATTCAGTGCCATCTTTTTTCAGATTTTCATTTCGCACAATTCCATTCTTTTCATTGCCATTTATTTCCCGATGTCGCAGACCATTCTTTCCCTGAAAAAAAATAACATCATGAAACACAAGATGAAATCCTTTCCTATAAAATAATTATTCCCTTTTAACATTTAACATTTCCAGTTTAGTTATGATATACAGATTTCTAGTATTCTGTGATGTAGACTTTTCCAGTTTAGTTATGATATACAGACTTCTAGTATTCTTTGATGTAGACTTTTCCAGTTTAGTTATGATATACAGACTTCTAGTATTCTGTGATGTAGACTTTTCCAGTTTAGTAATGATATACAGATTTCTAGTATTCTGTGATGTAGACTTTTCCTGTTTAGTTATGATATACAGATTTCTAGTATTCTGTGATGTAGACTTTTCCAGTTTAGTTATGATATACAGACTTCTAGTATTCTGTGATGTAGACTTTTTTAGTTATGATATACCAGTTTGATGTAGACTTTTTTAGTTATGATATACAGACAGTTATGATATACAGACTTCTAGTATTCTGTGATGTAGACTTTTCCAGTCTAGTTATGATATACAGATTTCTAGTATTCTGTGATGTAGACTTTTCCTGTTTAGTTATGATATACAGACTTCTAGTATTCTGTGATGTAGACTTTTCCTGTTTAGTTATGATATACAGACTTCTAGTATTCTGTGATGTAGACTTTTCCAGTTTAGTTATGATATACAGACTTCTAGTATTGTGTGATGTAGACTTTTCCTGTTTAGTTATGATATACAGACTTCTAGTATTCTGTGATGTAGACTTTTCCAGTTTAGTTATGATATACAGACTTCTAGTATTCTGTGATGTAGACTTTTCCAGTTTAGTTATGATATACAGACTTCTAGTATTCTGTGATACTTTTCCTGTTAAATTCCCGTAGAGAACTAATTTGTTCCAATCTGTGTTTCATTATTAATGTATCACCATGTGCTTGTAACGTTTTAAGACTTGTAATCTAAGTCAGAAAAAAACCTGTCATGTACAATCTATATTGATTAAACAATCAAAGCAGTACCCAAGTTGATAACCAGTAAAAAATAAAAAATGCAAAAACGAAATGAAAATATTCAATATTCAAAGAATGTTTTTCAAATTTGCTGAAATAGGTGAAAAAAAGTATGATAATAAGAAAACTAAATGTTTCTATTATCAAGCAAAGAATAAAGGGACATTTTTCTCATAAACATAAAATGTGTGGACTACAGTACATACTAATGCTGTAAATAAGTAAAATTTCAGGTAGTTTCATTTTAGTACTTTTCATACTGAACATATTACTCTGAAGTATGATTAAGCTTACTGCAGTTTTGACTTGATGATTATACAGTTATTCCAAGTACACTAAGAGGGAAAAAAATACAACTTGAACTTTATGGTTTACTGAAGATGTCCAATGCAATACCTAACTAGGAATATCAGACATTCCCTTTTTCAATTTATATATTTAACTTCAATAAGTCACCATGAATTAGGATACCCCAATGTACACAAAGTTGAAATGAGATCCCTAATACTTTGTGTGCCCTCCCTGAACAGCCATAGCATCTCTATTTTTGCATAGCATGGAGTTCATAAGGACACTGTCTGTAGACAAATGCTATTCCATTCCTCAGTAAGTGGGTTTACAAAATGGAGGTTACTTGGGATGTTTGCTTGATTCCACACTCTTCTGTCTAATTCATCCCATAAGTGTTTGATTGGGAACAAATCAGGCCCCTATGGAGTCCAATCAATAGGAACGATGTTCTCGTTTGCCAGAAAGTCCCTACAAACTCCTGCAACGTGTGGCATAGTGTTATCATGCTGAAAGGTCAAATAGTGCTTTTAATGAAAGGCAAAACATGGGCCTCAGGATCTCATCTTGATGACATAAAAGCCATTAAATTCCCATTAATGATCACTAAAGGTGTCTTTAAACCATAAGAATATCCTTCCCAAACCATAACCAATCAAAACCCAAGTCTGTCGTGCTCCAAAACAAGCACCTGCATATGCTCTCCTTAACACCAGTACACATGTTGACAGCCATCTGACCAAAATAACATGAATCAAGATTCATCAGTGAAGAGCATGGACCTCCAACATCTCAAAGGGAAATGTCTGGGCACATGTGTCATCAACCACCATATACCATGTGCTTGATGTTGAGGTGTCCGTGACAAACCAACATACTGGTGACGTGGGCATAAATTTGCCTATTACATTCTATTTCTCACAGTTTTTAGGTGGATTTGACAGTTCCCATCACCAATGGTATATCTTGTTGTTTCAACTGCCGTGAAATCTCCTGTCACCCAAGTGGGCAAGGCAAATGAAACAATCTTGACAACGCCATGTTACATGTGGACATATAGGTCTCAGTCTATCATTAACTCTAACCTTGGCATCGAGACATACAACTTACCAACTTCTAGTCAATTTGTGAAATTCGAAAAGAGTAGCAATCTGTTGTAAAGTGACACCTGCCATGGACATTGCAAGAACCCATCCTCTATCAGCTTGGGATAGCTGTGGCATTTTTGTAAAAACAATTAATGATTGCATGTATTTGTACAGTCACTGTACATTGGTAATTTAGACACACGGGATGTAGTGAGTTTTTGTCACCGATACCTGATTCTTAGCATTTATAGGGGATTGTGTAAGGTGCCCTCATACTTTTTATAAGGCTATGTTTATATTTAGAACAAAATATTCATAATTAAAGAAGTTGTGTTTCTTTATTGTTTCACTACAGTATGAAAAATGAACATGTCTAATAACAACAGCATGCATTTCAACTTTAGATTTCGAAGTATAAAACTGTAATTATATACATTCCTAGTGGACACCGAGTAGTGTTAAAGAGTAGCATGCTGAAATTAACAGATAATTTACAATATAAAAGGGTATACTAGTGTTGCCAAGCCTCATTATTATTTGATGATGGTATAATGTTATATCCACTATTAAGCCAATACTTAAATGGTCATTCAATTATGGAGGAGGGGGAGGAGGGGGGGGGGGAGGAGCAGCAGCAACAGCAGGGTTTAATTTCCTCTTATACCCATTATCTGTAAAATATCATGTTAGCATTTCCAATGTAGAACATTTATGACCCTGGGGGAGATGTGTGAGGCTTTAATGAATTTATCCTATCAGATGCTGACATATTTTGTATGAGGTACATAAATAAAAGATGGCTATTCTGCAGCACTGATGTATGTCTGTATGTCAAAGCTGTATATTACACATACACAGTTCACTAAAGAATGTTGGTACAGAAACACATTTACATCAGAAATACTTTCATAAATGAAAAAAAAAATTATAATTCTGGTTACCCTTTAATCCCTGATGATGCATTAACGTAAGAAATGGCATTTGAGAAAAGATTAAGGAAATTCAACTCGGTGTAAGGTTTCCTATTATAAAAGTTTCATGCTAAAGCAGGGTTTTCCATAAGAGCCGGTCGCCGGCCAATTTGACCGGCTACTTTGATCATTTGGCCGCCTATACCGATCCAGTTCCGTAATAATGTTCCGTACACGACTACACGTACACGGCAGGCCAGCCTCCTACTTTCACTACACAGCCCACTACTAATAAAATTATGGAAAACCCTGCTAAAGAGTGATCATACAAAACAGTACTGGAAATCTTGTGCTAACACAGACTAAATATTCCAAAATGGGATTTAAGATAATTCATTAAAGTGTAACTCTGTGTAAGTATAGGGAGCAACTCTGTGTAAGTATAGGGAGTATGTGTGAGAAAGAAAATTCCTGTTCAAGGATCACACAATACTGTGTACCACATGGTCATCAGTTACAAAAACATGCAACTTGTTGGATTCTAGAAGAAGAAAGAGAATAAGATTAAACTTAGTTATATCATATAATCAAACATTTCTTTTGTCCTATCAGTGATACCATTGATTTCTAACACATGGACAGATTCCAGGATTGTAAGTAAGCATCTCCCTTTAACACAATCAAGGCAGTAGGAAATAAATAATAAATGCCAGTATTGTTATATGGAAGAAGGTTCAGTACAGTGCCTCATGCAAACACCTATACATTCCATCAGTCCAACACAAGCGAAATCCACCAATACAACCCAACCCTTCAAAAGGATATGACAAGACAAGTTAAGAAATACTAAAGTTACCACATAGTTTTTGAAACAGGACATTTTCTGCATTATTTCAAAGCCATACTCAAATAACTAACCTTTCTCCACATCTAATATGTATAATGGGAAAGATGTTGGTCATCAAAATGGCAGTTGTATATATCATTTCTAAATATATCAATTAAGGGATATATCAGTCATCAAAGTGGGAAAAGGGAGAAAACCCTTTGTCCTGATATTAATGGAGAAGTTATCAGCCATTAATGGGAAATACCACTTGCCTGATGGGAAGATATCACTTATCCATAAATGAATGGCCCATGAGTAAGGTATCACACACTTATAAATAAAATGGGCTTCAAGTTTATGAAATTCAATCAATTGTATATCTGCAAGCAAGCAGGATTTAATTTAATGATTGCAAGCAAATTTACATTCATCATCAGTTGGTAAATTAATTTCAGAAATATTTAACTTTTTCACAAATTTGCAGCTATAGCAAGACATCACTATAGTATCACTATATATATATATTGTTTACAAGTTATATATGTGGAAGATATTGTAACCCCCTTTTTACCCAACTTGTGTGAAATTGACCAATTTCACTACAGATTCCTGAATTGTTAAAGGGTTCAGTGAATCAGTGGAAGTTATCAATTAGCCAACAATACAATGGGTTTCCCTCAACAATGGAGAAAAGCCACATGTCTTGTCTACATGTGATAAATAACTTGCAAATTCAGACAACCAGAGATATTAGTATACAAGTCATGTAGACAGAACCTGACCTGACATAGTCTAATTAGCAACCCAGGAACAATCATCCCTAATTCTCACACTGTAGCTCATGTTTGTACACAGCCTACATTACAAGTGTGCCAATTGTTAAGCACATGCCAGAATCAACATT